ATCCGACCCGCCCCTGGGCCGCGCGGGAACCGGGCGGGGCGGGTCGTGCTCCGGGGGTGGGACCATCCAGCGCGGGGGAAAGCGTGGACGGTGTGTGCTCTGGGGAGGATTCACCCACAGTCGGGGTTGCTCCTGGGAGTCAGCGTTATCCTCCCTGCACTGACGTGGGTCCGCGGAGCCCACCCAGCCCGTCCCTGCTATGCTGCCCAGACTAACCCCCAGCCCACGGGGAGCCCGTCTGCATCCGGCAGGAGAGCGCCTCTCGATGCTGTCTTTCAGCTAGGCTCCGTGGTAGGGGCCGGCAACGTTTCTGGCCCACAGCCTGGACTGGCAGGGTGCTGGCGTGCCAGGGGTGATGGTGGGGAAGCGCCGGGGCCCGGCCCCTTCCCCGAGGTTCAAGTGACAAGCAAAATGCCTTTGCCCAGCCGGACACACGGGGCTGCTGACCTGTCGATGCCACGAGCCACAAGTGACCTGTGTGGGCAAAGCTGATGCAGAGTAGTGCCAAGCCTGGCCTGTGCAAGGGCACTGGGGAAACACCCTGTACCTGGGCCCACAAGGGCAGGTTTCCTGGGGATCACTGCTCTTCCGGCTGGTTTAGTACCCACTGCCGAGGTGTTGGGGTTAAAGCCCACTTTACAGAAACGGGAGGCTCCCCACTAGCTTGCTCCTGTGGCCCTTTGGATGAGGACAGGCGACACTTGGGGCATCTGAACCCTGAGCCTCCGCGCTTGGGCCCGCATGTAAGATGTGGGAAAAGACTTTGGAAATATCTGAAGCCCCTGGTGCGGGTGGAGGATGTTTGGCGGCTGTAGGGCCGCTTATGGTTCTGGACTGAGTCATGGATTTGGCTGGGTACATGACAAAATTCTTTTTTTTTTTTTTTTTTTAAAAAAAAAAGACTTCCCATTTTTAAACAGTACTATTCAGACCACAAACAGGCCCTGCTTGAAGACAGCAGCTCTGGCTGGGCCACCCCTGGGAGCCGCCTGCAGCCCTGCCACGGCTGTGAAAAGACACAAGCCATTAGCCCCAGTACAATTAGGGCGTCCTGCCAAATGCGCCCTAATGAGCACTTTGCAATGCGCCAGTCGAGCCCCAGGGGAACGAGCCTCATTACGCTGCTCCCGGAGGGGATGGGGCCTGCATCGAGTTTCTCTTCTCTCCCGTTTTCTAAAAACCGCAAATCACTAGCGACCTTCCCCCCACCCCTCCTTCCTTCTTCCCTGTGTAGTCAGTAAAGCGCAGTCGGCCGAAGCCGGCTGTCACGTGTAGTCGTCGCGGATCTTTGCTTGTTGCAAGGTTCAGCCCCGAGCCGGGACAAGCGCCGTCGTCTCCGGGTCGCAGCTTGACCGGACGAGGCGGGTCTGGGCCGGGACAGGCCCGGGTGGGCCCCGCGGGCCAGGCCCCCTGTAGGGGGCGAGCGCGGCCCGGAAGGATCTGCGAAGGAGCCAGGTCGGCCTGGCCATGCTCCCAGGCGGCGGCAGCAGCGGCGGCGGCGGCTCGGGGGAGCGAGGGCTGTGGCTGGCAGCCGCCCTGCCCCGCCTGCCGCCGCCAGTGGTGGAGTTCCCCGAGGACGGGCTGGAGCCGCAGTTTGACGGTGAGAGGGCCGGGGGGGCCGCCTAAGGGCCGCCATGATCCGTGAGGGAGGCTGCGCCTTTCCCGCCATTCCCGCCAGCCTGTTGTCTCCCACCCCGCGGAGCTGAGTCCTGCCTCCGGTTCTTCCCCGTCTGCCTGGCTTCGCCTCCCCTCCTCTGGGCTTTCTTTTATTTCTGTCAAAAGCATGTCCCCTTCGGGTCGGGGGTGGCAGTCCCGTGGGGGTCTGCACCCCCACCCCCCAAGCAAGTGTTTGAATCTCAAGGAAGGCCAGCCACGGAGTCCGATATGTTGTGACTCGTGACAGCCCCTCAAGAGAAGGATTTAGGATCCTAAGAAAGCAGGGCTGCAGGGGACCTCCCCAGCCAGCCTGCTCTTGAAAATGTCCAAGGGCAAATAAAGATTGCTGGCCTGTTGCAGTGGCAGCACCCTCCTAGGCGACCGCCTGCGACCGAAGCGTCTTCTGACGCAGCTTGAGGCCGTGACTCCGAGTTCAGTCCCTGCGGCCGTGCAGAAAAGCCCTGGATCATGGAAGTCCCTTCCAGCCCTGCTTCTCTAGGCGTCGCCCCCACCCAGAGCAGCATCATCCCTCTCCAAACCATTGTATAAAGATTCATAATCTGAATGCTTCGTGTAACTGTCAATCCTAACAACATGAGAGGTAATGTCCCAACCTGCCACAGGCCTTCTGGTGACCTTGTCTGGGGGGTCGCGTGGCTCCCTCCGTGGGATCTCTCGAGCATTTACTGCCAGCGTTTCAGAGAAGCAGGATGTTGGCTGCTGTGGCTCCCCTGCATTTCCTGTGCTCAGGTGTTAGGTCTGTGCTGCATCCGGGGTTGATTTGTAATCTTACGGAGAGTTTAGGTTGTGGATTGTATGGGATGGTTTGGATGGGGATGATCCCACCTGAGGCAGCGGGTTGGCCTAGAAGACCTATAGAGAAGTAGGGCTGGAAGTGTCAGGACATAGGTGACGTATAAGGGTCCCTTCCAGCCCTACTTTTCTGTGATTCTGTAAAGAAGGGGGCACAACAGCCAGGGTCCTCCTTCTGTCAAAGTTGTTTCTGTAAAGAGGAAAATTAACATTGTCAGCTGTCAGCTTTTTTTGGCCGGGGTAGTCAGTAATGTACCAATAAATATTAGCTGTGCAGCGCTAAAGATATTTTTGGCTGATACTTATGGCTAATTACTAACCATCCGTATCAGTCAATACTGACCCGATTGCCGATATGCAGTTGAGCGGCTTGGAGAGCAGCATCCTGCTGATGAGTCACCGGGAGGGAAGGGGTGTGTTGGGGCAGATTGAGGCCCCCACAGTGAGGGAGGGAGTGGGACTGGGGCATGAATGCAATCCTGGGGCAACGGGACGGAGCTGTGGGTGGCTTGTCCAGAGGATCATCATCCCAGCATTTAAAAATGGCAGCGGGAGCACTTGAACTAGAGCTCACAGAATGAGCTTTAGTTCAAGTGCTGCTGCCGCCATTTTTAAGCACTGGGACATTTATAACTGGAGTGGAGCTGAGCCAGGGCAAGGGCAGAGGTGGGCTTGGGGCTCTTTGCCCTGTTGTCTTTGCTACAGGAACCTTGCGCTGGCTGAGCTGCACCCCCTGCCCCAGCCATTCGATGAGGTTTAGTTCAAGCACCTCCACTGCCATTTTTTAATGCTGGGACAGTGATCTCCCAGACAAGCCACCCACAGCTCCGTCCCGTTCCTCCAGGGTCTCATTCATTGCCCTGCCCCTGCCCCACTCTCTTCCCTCACCATGGGGGACTTGATCTGCACCCCCCATGCCTTTTCCCCTCCACAGACTTACCTGAAAGTGCTGCTCTCCATGCTGCCGGCTGTGGTATCAGCTGATATGCCTGGTGAATAATTGGCTGTTGGTGTCAGCCAAGAAGAATCTTTATCGGTGCACCCCTAAATAAAAACCCTGACATGTAGCAACCAGCAAAATTGCCCTTTAGGTATTTGAAGAATGTTACCAAATCCTTCCTCAGTCTTCTCTTCTCCAGACTAAGTAACTCTACTTCTTTCAGCATTTTCTCATAAGTCTTGCCTCCAAAGGCCCCTAATCATTTTTGTTGCTGTGTGCTGAACTTTTTCTAATCTGTCCACAGCCTCAAAGTGCAGGGCCCAAAACTGGACACAGTTACTCCAGGTGAGGCCTCACCGGTGCTGAATAGAGCAGAAGAATTGCTTTCCTTGATTTGCAAGTGACACTCCTATTAATACAACCTACCATTCTACTGGCTTTTTTTTTTTTGGCAACTAAAAATTTTGCAATTAAGATTTTAAATTAATTACTTTGTGTTTCATTTGAAAACCTAGGCTCTTGAACTTATTTTTTTTTTCCCCCCCAGAGTAGCCATTTGTTTGATAAGGAAGGTTTAGTTAGATGAATGTCTGTAGCCATGTTGTACAATCCCTACTAGATCTGTTATTTTTATTTAAAAAAATGCACTTCTAATCATGGGGAGGCATATATGCTTTGTTAGACTTTCAATGTGAATGACTTATAAATATTGTACTAAATATTTTAGAGTAGTGGTACTCAACCTCTGGCCCAGAGAGCCATGTCATCTGGACCACAGAGCTCTGCACAGGTCTGGAAATTTGGTGGCAGCAGCGGCATTATTAGTTGCTACTTCTGTGCTGCCAAATTTCTGCATCTATGGAGAGCTTCACAAGCCAGGTAACGTGGCCCTATACCTGGAGTTGTGTCAGCGCATGGTCC